TAAAGATACCAGCAAAAAAACCATTAGAACTTATAAATGAATTCAGTAAAGTAGCAAGATATAAAATAAATATCCAGGAAGAGTTGCATTTAAAAAAAATATATTAAATAAAAAAATATTGGTTTCAGAGAGAGGAAGGGAGCGAGAGAGAGAGAGAGAGAGAAACACCAATGATGAGAGAGAATCATTGATCGGTTGCCTCCTGCACAGCTCCCACCAGGGATTGAGCTCACAACCTGGGCATGTGACCTGACCAGGAATCCAACCCTGACCTCCTGGTTCATGAGTTGACACTCAACCACTGAACCACCCGGCCGGGCTCAGTTGCATTTTTATACACCAATACTGAACTATCAGAAAGGGAAACTAAGAAAACAATCCCATCAACAGTTGCTTCAAAAACAAAATAAAATACCTAGGAATAAATTTAACCAAGGATGTAAAAGACCTGTACTTGGAAAATCATAAGACACTGAAGAAAGAAACTGAAGAAGATACAAATAAGTGGAAGCATATACGTGTTCATGGATAGGAAGAATTAACACCATTAAAATGTTCCTACCACCCCAAACAATCTATAGATTCAATGCAATTTCTATCAGTATGCAATGGCATATTTCACAGAACTAGAACAAATATTCCAAAAATTTACATGGAACCACAAGAGACCCTGAATAGCTATAGCAATCTTGAGAAAGAAGAACAAAGTTGGAAGAATCATGCTACCTGATATCAAAGTATACATACTACAAGCCCATAGTAATCAAAACAGTGTGATACTGGCATAAAAACAGACATATAAATCAATGGAACAGAACAGAGAGCCCAGAAATAAATCCATGCCTTTAAAGTCAATTAATAGTTGACAAAGGAGCCCTAACCGGTTTGGTTCAGTGGATAGAGCGTCGGCCTGCAGACTGAAGGGTCCCAGGTTCGATTCTGGTCAAGGGCATGTACCATGGTTTCGGGCATATCCCCAGTAGGGGCTGTGCGGGAGGCAGCTGATCAATGTTTCTCTCTCACTGATGTTTCTAACTCTATCCATCTCCCTTCCTCTCTGTAAGAATAATCAATAAAATATATTTAAAAAAAATAGTTGACAAAGGAGGCAAAAACATACAATGAGGTAAAAATAATCTATTCAACAAATGATGTTGTGAATATTGGACAGATACATGCAAAAAATGAAACTAGACCACTTTCTTACACCATAGAATAAACTCAAAATGGATGGAAGACTTAAATGTTAGACTCAAAACCATAAAAATCCTAGAAAAAAACATAGGCAGTAAAATCTTGGACATTTCTCATAGCAATATTTTTTTCTGATATATCTGCTTGGGCAAGGACAACAAAAGAAAAATTAAACAAATGGGACTATATCAAACTAAAAAGTTTTTGCACAGCAAAGGAAACCATCGACAAAATGAAAAGACAACCCACTGAGTGGGAGAACATATTTGCCAATGAAACATCTGATAAGGGGCTAATATCCAAAATTTATAAAGAACTTATAAAACTCAACACCAAAAAATCCAAACAATCCAATTAAAAAATGGGCAAAAGACCTAAACAGACACTTCTCCAAAGAGGACATACAAATGGACAATAAATATGAAAAGATACTTGATGTCACTAATCATCAGAGAGATGCAGATTAAAACCACAATGAGATATCACCTCACACTTGTTGGAATGGTTATCATCAATAAACCAACAAGTAACAAATGTTGGAGAGGATGTGGAGAAAAGGGAATCCTTGTGCACTATTGGTGGGAATACAGATTGGTGTAGCCACTATGGAGAGCAGTATGGAATTACCTTAAAAAACTAAAAATGGAACTGCCTTATGAACCAGTGATTACACTTCTGGGAATTTATCCGAGAAAACCTGAAACACTAATTCGAAAGAATATATGCACCCTTATATTACTTGCAGCATTTATAATGGCCAAGATTTGGAAGCAGCCCAGGTGTTCATCAGTAGATGATTGGGTAAAAAAGCTGTGGTACATTTACACAATGAAATACTACTTGGCAATAAGTAGTATTTTGCAACAGTATGGATGGATCTGGAGAGTATTATGCTGAATGAAATAAGCCACTCAGAGAAAGACTAGTACCATGTGATTTCACTCATATGTGGAATCTAATGAACAAAGTGAACTAACAAGCAAAACAGAGACAGGTTCATAGAGAGCAGGTTGACAGCTGTTGAGGATAGGTTGGCGGTTGGGGGTCTGGGTGGGAGTGGTGGAGGGATCAAGTAAAAAAAAAAGGATAAAACACTCATGGATATAGACAACAGTGTGGTGATTGTGGGCTGCGGCAGGGAGGGGGTTGTTGGGAGAAAGTGGAGGAGTGTATGGGGGATAAATGGTGAGGGAGACTTGATTTAGGGTGGTGAACATGCAATATAGTGTATAGATATGTGCACCTGAAACCTGTATAATTTTGTTAACCAGTGTCACCCCAATAAATTCCATTAAAAAAAAAAAGACAGATTCTCATTACTAGTCAGTGAGACTATAAGTTGGTATATTTTTGGGAATATAATTTGCATGAAAAGCTTTAAAACAACCAACTTTAGAAATCAGTCCTAATAAATTACTATGGAATACATATAGATGTTTGCTGTTATTTGTAATGGAGATAAACTGGAAAAAACAACAACCCTAAGTAGACATACAATAAGGGATGACTAAATTAAGATTTATCTCTATGAGACTATTTAAAAGGATATATACTAGTTTTTATTAATATAAGTAAATGTTTAAATTATAAGTTTCACAAGGACGTGGTCCTTATCTAGCTTGTTTTTACTATTTATTCCTAGGGAATAGCATAAGGCCTAGCATACAATTTTTTAAATTAAAACTTTATTCTTTTTTTTAATATTTTATTGATTTTTTACAGAGAGGAAGGGAGAGGGATAGAGAGTTAGAAACATCGATGAGAGAGAAACATCAATCAGCTGCCTCCTGCACACTCCCTACTGGGTATGTGCCTGCAATCAAGGCACATGCCCTTGACCGGAATTGAACCTGGGACCCTTGAGTCCGCAGGCTGACGCTCTATCCACTGAGCCAAACCGGTTAGGGCTAAAACTTTATTCTTTATAAAGCTGTTAGGTTCACAGCAAAATTAAGGGGACGGTATAGAGATTTTCCTTGCCATTTACCCTGTCTCCACATATACATAGCCTTCTCCATTATCAACATTTCCCATCAGAGTGTTACATTTGTTACAGCTGATAAACCTATATCATTGCCACCCAAAGCCCATAGTTTACATTAGAGTTTACTCCTGGTATTGTACATTGCATGGGTTTGGACAATGCATAAGGGCATATATCCATCATTAAAATATCATACAGTATTTTCACTGCCCTAAAAAAATCCTCTGTGCTCCATCTAGTTATTCATCTTTCCTCCCATCTCAACCCCTGGAAAACAACGATCCTTTTACTGTCCCCATAGTTTTACCTTTTCCAGAATATCATTTCATTGGAATCATACACTGTGTAGCCTTTTCAGGTTGTTTTCTTTCACTTAATAATATGCATTTAGGGTTACTCCATGCCTTTTCATGGCTTGACAGTTCATTTCTCTTAGCACTAATAGTCCATTGCCTGGATGTATTAATTTATTTCACCTACTGAAGAACATCTTAATTGCTTCCAAGTTTTGGCAATTATGAATAAGCTGCTAGAAACACCTGTGTGTAGGGTTTTGCATGGATATGCTTTCAACTCCTTTGTGTAAATAAATACCAAGTAGAGTAATTGCTGATGGTTTGGGAAGAGTATGTTTAGTCTTCTAAGAAACTGCCAAATTAACTGCCTTCCAGAGTGCCTGAACCATCTTACATTCCTACCCTTAATAACTGATAGTTCCTGTTGCTCTACATATTCACTAGCATTTGGTGTTGTCAGTGTTCCAGATTTTGGCCATTCTAAGTGTAGTACACATACATTTTTATTAAATACTAGAGGCCCGGTGCACGAAATTCATGCGGGGGGTGGGGGGGTGGGGGGGAGGTGTCCCTCAGCCCGGCCTGCACCCTCTCCCAATCCAGGACCCCTTGGGGGATGTCTGACACCCCTCTCGCCATCTGGGATCCTGGCTCCTAACCGCTCACCTGCCTGCCTGCCTGCTTGCCCCTAACCACCTCTGTGGTGGCCTCCGCGGCTTTGTCTGTAAGGTCGTTCGGCTGTCTGGTCTAATTAGCATATTATGCTTTTATTATTATAGATTTGGTAAATGAATGAAAAATGTTCAGTGAAAAAAAATTATATTAAATGTTATTTCTGTGAAAAATCTGTCTATAAAAAGAACTGGAATGACACACCATGAAATGGGAAAAAGAGGTCGTGGGCATTTGTTAAGAACAGCTTTATTGAGGTACAATTTTACATACCATAAAAATTCACCATTGTATATGTACAGTTCAACTACATTTGTACATTGTGCGATTATCGCCATAATCCAGGATCATGGTCTCATTCCACCTTTTCTGTCTGGTAAAGGAGGGCTTATTCTTTGGAAGTCCCCTTCCCTGAACTATAAAATTATCTATAAAAATTTCAGGGTTGAGCAGGCATGATATAACTAGATTCTGTTTCGCGTACTATGGTAGGATCATTATTCTTGGTCCTTCTGCAAATACAAAGGCCCCACAGAATAATGAGTACAGTCCCATTCTCCAAAGGAAATGTGGGTATTGGATGGAATCAGATGTGAGCAGTTCCCTTGTGCGTGATCTTGCTAGCGGAGTGCGAAAGCTGAGGACGTCCCCCAACAACCTGGGAAACCGGCCGCTGCAGTCCCGGGGCTGGAGCCACCGCCTCTCCGTGAAGCGCCCAGAGAAGGGACTTTCGGGGTATATTTCGTTAACTCTCTACAACAGAGAATCCTTTGGGCAAAACTCGACTGAGATGGGTGAGCACTTAATCATCCTTTACAGCCCCGGGTCCCAACGCCCCGCCGGCAGCCTCCTACCTGCAGAGAAGCAGAGCAGGAACACCGGGTGCCTCAGGCGGGCCAAGCCTAGCAAAGTGGGAGCAAAGAACATGGCTTCGTCGTCGGGGTGCGCGATCACCAGGAGGGCCCGGCTTCCGCTTCCCAACAGGCCAGCCTGCACCTGACTCTTCATTCGTTCCAAGAAGTGCCAAGCCCAGAAGATGCCCGGTGCTAGGAGGGCCACCGCCACACACACAACACCCACGGCCTCCATGCCGTCTGAGGGGCACAGCGCCTGCGTCACAGGGACAGGTGCCCCGGAGCCGGCTCGGGGGGAAACCACGCTCCGCGCAAATTGCGTTCCGAGTTGCGGTCCGTCCCGCCAAGCCGCTCCTACGGCGTGAGGCTTGAAAGGTCGGGTGCTTGGGATGGGCTGGCACGGTCGCCTCCCGGCACATACCGAGTTCCCTCTACTTTACGTAGCGTTTACGAGGACGGCGACAGCTCGGGACCGAGCCCCTTCCTGTCAGTTTCTACCCTCGTCCTGACACAGTCCGATCGTTTCACCGTCAGAGTGAGGCTGAGGGCGCACTTTGTGGTCGCCAGGGTCACAGGCTCCGAGTGGCTAGAGTAAGGACTGACATCAAGGACAAATAGGCATCGCCTGTTCGCTTTTCAGTGAAGCCTTGGCGAGAGTTACAGCCGGAGCCCTGGGAGACACCTGGGTAGGTCGACGTGCACCCCTCCAGCTCCCAGCCTGTGGGGGCCGCTCCCTCCCCGCGGCCAG